TTCCTTTGGCAGAAAGTCCCAACTCTGATCTAGTGTTCTGATACATTACACAATGTAACTTAAAGACTATGTATTTTTTTTTACTACCTTGCTTTCACAACAGTTGCATCCATACACCTATCTCTATGGTTACTTTTTTATGCTTTCCTCTGACCCTCCCTTCCAACACATTAAGTCCACAAATAGGCTATAAACTAGGAGTGAGAAGTGAAGAGAAAGGATTATACACATGACTAAAGTAAATAGTAGCCATGAATTTGCTAACTCACAACTGTTTGCCCAATCTCTGCTTTGGGGATAGATAGAGCCTCTCATTAAATCTTGTCTTCAATACAGTGAAGTGTCATTTTCATTGAACTAGCAAAAAAAAAAAAATCCTCAAATTATATTTTGGAAGATGATAATATTTTCAGGTTTGTAGCTAGCTATCACCTCACATTTTCTGCAAACTGTACTGTGGGATGCATGATGAAATGTAACATAACCTCTAAGACTCCTTCCATATTTGTATCTTCTATGATTGTGTGTGATATATTGCTAGCATCTGGCATGTAACAAAAATTAGAAGATAAGCATATAATAAACTATTTTAGAATATGTGTTGTGTGGGCAGAAAGATGGCAGGAGAGGAATACAGTTATATACACAAATATCTATAATACAAATTAAAGGGTACCAAAATACAGTGTCCATTCATTAATTTCTTGAGGGCAAAGTCCCTGATAATTTCTGTACATTCATTTTTTTATTCTTTTTTCTTTCAATTCAAGATCAATTTATTCTCAAGTTTCGCCAACACAGAAATACTATCCTTGAAGTGCCTCAAATCTTTCCATAACAACTCTTGCTTGAAATTTCAACTGCAGTGCCCAAGTCCCTAATGCTAATCCTTTTTTCTGTTGTTGTCACCCAGACTAGGGCACAGTGGCATCATCCCAGTTCTCCATAACCCAAAACACTTGGGCTCAAGTGATCCTCCTTCCTCAGCTTCCCAAAGAAGTGGACTATAGGCATAAGCCACTATATCTAACTAATATTAAACTTTCTAGAAAGATGGAGTCTCACTATGTTGCTCAGGCTGGTTCCAAACTCCTGGCCTCAAGCAACCAAGGTGAGACTTTGGAAGATGGGATGAAGGAGATAGGAAGTCTGTGTGGGGTGATCCCAGCAGGTGCACCAGGAGCTTTGGTCCAGCGGGGCAGCTGGTATACAAGGCCCCAAAAAGTGGAAAGGAAAGGCTGAGGTCACAGGCAGCGGGCAGCCTGCCCATCCTTGGATTAAAAGCAAAGTACACACTGTAGCTGCAGGGACTTGGGGGCAGGCAGACCTCCGGGGACAGCCGGCCAGGTTGCAACACTTGTGGTGCACGTGTCCGGAAGGGTGAGTGTTAGCTGTGCCTCTGCTGACATCCTTTCTGGCTTTCAGATCTTGGTCTGGCTGAGGCTGTGCTGGCCCAATGGCTCTGGCCAATGCTCACAACGTACACTGATCCTCAGAGGTTAAAAGTCACTATCCCACCCAAGATGCCAGCATCCCTCACAGGTTTAGTTTCCAGTGGACAAACTCCAGGGTTGTGTCCAGTGGTCGTGATGCAGGAGCTGGGACTCAACCAGGACGTCGGCCCTGGCCCAGGGAAGAATAGCCTGAACAAATGGCAAAAAATAAAAAGGTTTTCTGTCTCTTTAAACTTCCTGCACTCCTTTTGGGAGCTATGATGTGCATCCCTTTAAAAAAACAAACAAAAAAAAAATAAAAAAACAAAAGACCTACACTCTTGTCTCAGGTCAGGGACTGTCCTTTGTCGTGGGTGCTCCAGGAGGGGCTCAGCCCCTGCCCTGGAGGTCGGGTGGGCCTCCCTGGCGAGTGTAGGGCCCAGGACTCCGGTTTTTTATTCTAGGGATTAACACAATACCAGACGCACAATAATAATTTAACATATACTTATTAAATTAATGAATGTGTGGAATGGAAAAAATGTTACAGGAACATAGAACAGGGTATGTTTGACACTCAGGGGATAATGAAAGTGGGTGAACTGGTGGGGAAAGGGGGCAAGGGGAAGAACTCCATAGCACAGATTGCAATTTTTTTCCCCATTATTCATTCCCCGTTCCTTCTATAGTAATATTAATAGTTTTCTTGATTTTTAGCTAGACACATTTACCAATCATCTTTACTACTAGATATTCCAAGTGACTAAATTCTGGTCAATGCAATGTGAACAAAAGTGATGTGTGCACCTTTTAGATCTCATTGAAGGGTGTATGCATGCCCTCTTTCCCCCCATTATTCTACTAAGCTCTGGCCATGAATGGCCATGGTGATAAGCCATCAAAGACTAAGTAGGCAAGGGCAAATCCCTTAGATGCAGCCTGAAGGAGGAGTCTGGGTCCCTGATAACTTTTGGAGTAGAGCCACCATAGCGAGAGGATTTTACAAAAGTCTGTTTTGTTTAAGCCAATGGTTATTTTGGATTTCTGTTGCAGGGGTTCAGTTTATATCTGAACCAGTACAAGCGTCAAGAAAGTCTTTTATAGAGGTGATGGCTGTGCTGAGTTTCAAAGACTGAATTAGGAGGGAGGGGCTTCCAAGACTGAGGAAACAGTAGGCATAAAGAAATGAAAGTTTGGGGACTGGCTTCAGCATGCTAGGCAATGAAGCGGGAAAAGCAGGCAAGGGCCAGACACTGACGATCCTGCCCTGCTTTGCTGAAAGACTTGGATTTTACTTTGTAGACAAGAAGATATTCTGTGGTAGGGGTATGGGAAGATGGAAGGAAGATTCCAATAGCACAATTCACATGCAAAATAAGCCGGGAAGATTAATCTATTTTATAGGAGAGGGAACATAAATCCAGAGAGACTAGAATATCTTTCTATGTTAAAGACAGAGGTGGATGGCTAGGCGCCTATAGCTCAACCGGCTAAGGCGCCAGCCACGTACACCTAAGGTGGCGGGTTCGAATCCCCAGCCCGGACCCACCAAATAACAATAACGACTGCAACCAAAAAATAGCCGGGCGTTGTGGCGGGTGCCTGTGGTCCAAGCTACTTGGGAGGCGGAGGCAAGAGACTCGCTTGAGCCCAGGAGTTGGAGGTTGCTGTGAGCTGTAATGCCACGGCACTCTGCCCAGGGGGACAGCTTGAGGCTCTGTCTAAAAAAAAAAAAAAAAAAAAAAAAAGACAGAGGTGGAATTAGACTCCGTAGCTACACCAGTTTTTCAAACTGTGGTCTTTGGCCTGACTGCATCAGAGTCACTAAGCCCCCTAGTAAAAATGCAAATTCTTAGGTCTGAGAAGGCCAGACCAGCGCCATTTTGTTGTTTACTGTCTAAGTTCTGTTCCTCATTTTGAGCCCCTGCAGCCATCTTAGATAATAAGCTTCAGCTGCCCCCAAACCCTGGCTTCCTCCCCCCAATCAAACCTCCCAGCCTGCCAATCAGAAGTGCACCTCACCCCTCTTGCTCCATACCACCCCAGGCCCCTCCCTCACCTCAGTTAGGAAAATCCCCCACCCCTCAACCTGTACCAATCCAGAGCCTCCCCTACTTCCCCATACCCCGACCACCAATCACCCCTACTTCCCCATGCACCGACCACCAATCAAAAACGTACCCCGCCCTTCTTCACCCTTCTTGCTTTCTGTACCCTATAAAATTTTCCAACCCCCTAGGCTCGGGGCCTTCCTTGGTATGTTTGCCAAGAGGGGGTCTGAGCTCGGAGTGTGTCTCCGTTAGTCCTTTCGTGGGCTCGGGGATTCAGGGAAATTCTAGGTACAACAGGCCAACCTTTTAACTACTGACTCAAATCTCTGGGTATGGGTTCTAGAAATTTTTTTTGTTTGTTTGTTTGTTTTTTTTTGCAGTTTTTGGCCGGGGCTGGGTTTGAACTAGGCACCTGTAGCATAAAGGGCCAGCGCCCTACTCCTTTGAGCCACAGGCACGGCCAAGAAATCTGCATTTTTAACAAGGGCTTCAGATGCTTAAGAGTCAAAACCACTTAACTATATAGCAGCCACCTCAAAAATATGACTGTTTACAAACACGGCCGCGGGGAAGCACTCAGGCCCAGCGCGGTCCCGAGAGACAGGTGGCTTCGAGCGGCTGGAACAGAAATCGGGGCACGCGGGAGGAAGGGCAACTCCTTCCTCGAGGAGGGGCGGGGCCTTTCAAATCTCGCGGGAACGTGCGGCGTCCGGACCCGCCGCTCCCGGTTACCATGGAGACCCGGGCGCTGGGTTGGTCGACCTTGAGCTGCCGGGGCGGCTGACTCTCCGGCGGCCTCGGCCCGCCAGTGTCCGCGGCCCGCGCTCACCACTCTCCGCCGCCGAGTCTGTCACGGCCTCTCGCAAGGCCGGAGGGGGCCTCGAGGCGCGCTCTCCGCGAGGAACCGGAGCGAACCGAGCGCCGCACGCCGCGACCCCCCCGCCCCGAATCCTGCCGGTGGAAGTGGCTGCATTTGAACCAAACGGCCTTCGCGGGCCGCAGCCGCCCCGCCGTCCCGCCACTCCCGAGGGCCTGTTACCGACACCAGCCACCGGTGTCCCAGGTGCAGCGGCCGCCGCGTCTCGTCCCCCAATCCCCGGAAACATCCGTCCTCGGGGTAAGGAGGCTTCTCGGGTGCCGGCGAAGGGGGCGGGCGGCGGCGGGGCCGCGGGGGCCGCGCCCGGGGAGCTCCGGCCCCTCCCCGGCCCGGGTCGGAGCGACTCTCCGGTCTCTGTTCCCCCCCTTCCTCTCCCACCTATTCCTTTTGAGTATATAGAAGTTTCGTTGCGGCTTGTCCGGCTGAAGTATGGGATGTGCGAACTGGCCAGTAAATGCCATCGCTTATCTTTAAGGCTGCGACGAAGAGGGCCACCGGTGGGGGCTGCAGAAACGGCGATTCACCCAGATAACCTGCTCTTTTCACAGAGACGATGCTTAAGGAACAAGGGAAACCGTTTCCTGGAACATCTGCCTTGTAATTCAAGCTTTTGTTACTGACGACAGTCCAGAGGCAGACATGCTCAACTCCACAGATGAACTGGAGTTTTCAAACAAAAGCAATACCTCGATCTCCCAACTCTCTTCTCTGGGACTGTCGGATGACAGAGCATCCTGCGGAAAAAGCCCACCTGGTGTGCCTGAAAAATCTGGCTATCCGGACTCCGTTTACGTTATGGCAGCGAACATTTTTCAGGGTATTCGAATCGAAAAATCGCCAGAGAAAGTCTTAATAAAGTATGGGCATGAACCCCTGCCGTCCTCTTCTGATTCTGAGGATGAATCCTTTCGTCGTTTGTCCTATGAGCTGGCTTTTAGTGCCCTGAAATGTGAGTTGTACCCATCTTGAAAATCACTAAATTTGTGAAATGTAGACCCCCCCCACACACACACACACATCCAACGTGCAGCTCGCGGGCCAGTATGCTGATTTTGTGAGGACTTTTCTGGTTGCATACAAAAAAAGTATGCACGGATGTATTTTTTTGTTAATTAGCTTTCTTTACTGTTTGTGTATTGTGTGGCCCAAGACATCTCTTCCAGTGAATAAAAATGAAGGGGAAAAAGGTTGAACACCCCTGGTTATGCATGTGCCTATCTGTGGTCTTTTGCAAATACTAAGGAATTAGGAGAGTTCTGGTGAAACTAGCTCTTTCTTTTTTTTTTTTTTTGAAACAGAGCCTCAAGCTGTCCCCCTGGGCAGAGTGCCATGGCATTACAGCTCACAGCAACCTCCAACTCCTGGGCTCAAGCGAGTCTCCTGCCTCCGCCTCCCAAGTAGCTGGGACCACAGGCGCCCGCCACAACGCCCGGCTATTTTTTGGTTGCAGCCGTCATTGTTGTTTGGCGGGTCCGGGCTGGGGATTCGAACCCGCCACCTTAGGTGTACGTGGCTGGCGCCTTAGCCGGTTGAGCTATAGGCGCTGAGCCGAAACTAGCTCTTTCAAACCAGAACCGGTTTTTACTGTAGGTGCTTTGGAGCCAAGCGCAGTGTGTCTGTGGTGCTTAGATAAGTGTGGTGCTCAGACATCGAATTAAACAAGGAAACAATCTAAGTCTTTGTTTCCCTCTCTCTGTGAATTTATTTTCGTTCCCTGTGTTTATATCGTGCATTTTAATTTAAGAGCTTACGCCAATATAAAACTCCAGTAAGGGAGGCTGGGGAGAGGAGCAGAGAGATGGAATAAGAAGAAAAGGTGTGATAATAAAGAATATTAAAATTAAATCAAGCCCAGTGAAGATGATTCCATTTATAGTCAGTAGTTTTACTTTTGGGAGCCAAACTTTAGTATAATTCCCCTTTCTAATTTGCCTCCAGAGTTTGAGACTCAGGGTTTCTGAGTCCCTTAATGGTGGCTAATTATCAATTTCGAAGTGTGGGGTTGAATCTAGGAAATAACCAAATATTGTTATGAGAAGGTGAACATTCGAAGGGCCTAAAGTGGTTTATTTTTGTACTAGCTGTGACTATAAACTTTATATTGGTTTATAAACTGACTAAATGTAGTTCCAAAAATGTTTCATCTGAAGAGACACCGTGGAAAGATGACACTCATTTGGATGTATCAGTATTATGTACATCTTTGCACATGGGAGGCAGTTGAAATTGCTCAGTTGAACTGAAATATTTATTCCACTGCTTATTTAGAAATTAATATGTATTTTTTGTTGTCTGCAGAGATGATGTAGCTCAATTTTGAAGCCAGAAATTTGTCGTCATAAAGAAAAATTTGTCAAGAAGCAATTTCTCTTTAGTTATCACTACTTTGTTTTTTTGCTGTTCAGGATTTTTTAAGTCTATCTTAACCATTTTTCCTTCTCCAGTTTGATCTTTCAGATTCTGGCTTGGCGCCTGTGTCTCAAGTGGCTAAGGTGTCAGCCACATATACCTAAGGTGGCGAGTTTGAATCCAGCCAGGGCCCACCAAAAACAACAATGACAGCTGCAACCAAAAAATAGCCGGGCGATGTGGCCAGCACCTGTGGTCCCAGCTACTTGGGAGGCTGAGGCAGGAGACTCACTTGAGCCCAGGAGTTGGAGGTTGCTGTGAGCTGTGATGCCACGGCACTCTACCCAGTGGACAGCTTGAGGCTCTGTCTCAAAAAAAAGCGATCTTTCAGATTCTGTTTATCTCCTTCCCTGTCCCTCAACCAAAGTGTTGCATTTTACACATTGAATCAAATGAACATTTTTACATTCTTTTCTTTGCAACAATGAAATGTAGACTGGGCAGTTGTGTTGATTAATTGGTAATTTTTTTTTTTTTTTTTTTGGTAGAGACATAGAGTCTCATTTTATGGCCCTTGGTAGAATGCCGTGGCGTCTCACAGCTCAGAGCAATCTCCAGCTCTTGGGCTTAGGCGATTCTCTTGCCTCAGCCTTGGGAGCAGCTGGGACTACAGGCGCCCGCTTCAATGCCTGGCTATTTTTTTGTTGCAGTTTGGCCAGAGCTGGGTTTGAACCCGCCACCACCCTCTGTATATGGGGCCGGTGCCCTACCCACTGAGCCACAGGTGCTGCTCTATTTAATAATTTCTTAATGACCCAGAAAATCCCATGCAGATAATTATTGTCACAGGCCTTTATAAACCTGGTTTTCTTGGCAACATTCACTTTTCTAAGTTTAAATTATGAAATAAGATGACATTGGTTGTTAACTTACTAAAAATATTATTTTCCACTTCTTAAAAATGTTATTTTCTTGGGTGGCGCCTGTGGCTCAAGGAGTAGGGTGTCAGACCCATATACCGGAGGTGGCAGGTTCAAACCTAGCCCTGGCCAAAAGAAAAGAAACTACAAAAAAAAACAAACCCAAATTATTTTTTTTTTCTTTTCTTTTTTTTTTTGAGCCACCAAAAATTACTTTCTTCTTGTTGTTTTTTTTGGCGGGTCCGGGCTGGGGATTCGAACCCGCCACCTTAGGTGTACGTGGCTGGCGCCTTAGCCGGTTGAGCTATAGGCGCTGAGCCTAAAAATTACTTTCTTATAATAATACAGTCTTGGTTTAAATGATCATGTAAGTAATTTCTGAATGTGCAACTGTAATAAAATCAGAATTCCTAAATGCAATGAGTTTTCCAAGATAATTAAGAACCTGCCTCGGCGCCTATAGCTCAACCGGCTAAGGCGCCAGCCACGTACACCTAAGGTGGCGGGTTCGAATCCCCAGCCCGGACCCGCCAAACAACAATGA